TGTTGTTGAAAGTAAATATGTAGTAGAAAACGTGGTTGCCTACCAAAGAAGCATACCTGATGTAAATGAAACCAATTTTAATGGATGCTTTTCCTTGAGCTTTACAAACTTTACAAAACAGATGAACAGGGTGTGTCTATCTACAATATGTGAAAGAAAAAACAAACGAAGAATAACGGTAATTAATTTGGCTGGTACGAATTACTACTGCATTATTATCAATGGAATCTACTTGGCAATTCATTTAGGTCTGCAGGTATTTGGCTGTAATTCTATGCGATCCTTCATATAAAGGCTGTCCGAAATACCCTGCTAGATTTCTATTCCTATTCTAGTTTTTGAGAGCTATATTCCATGGCAAGGTTCTATACCGACCTAAACGAACTGCAAAGTAGATTCTACTGATATAGCGCAATAGTTTATACTAATCAAGTTAATCACCGTTATCCACCTTATGTTTTTCCATCATATGTCACAGGCTGACATACCTTGATCATCTGTTTCGTAAAGCACCCATTAAAATTTGTTTCACTTACATCGAGTATACTCTTTTGATAGGCAATGACGTTTTCTACTACGTATTAATCTCAACATCACCAAAAAGCAAACAGAAAAAATTGTCTAGATGTTTTAATTTTTTAAATACTTCATTGTATACAAATTCCAACTAAATTTAAAGGAACTAATACGCAGAACCTTTTAAAAAATATGAGATAGTGATTCAAAGCATCAAGAATATCATTGAGGTATACGTGAATGATTAATAAAAGGAGTAGAAAACATAACGTAATTTTGATATTAACTAAAAAAGTAAACACAAAGTTTTACACACGTAATGAACATGCTAAAAGTATTTTCGTACGCGGGTCGGTCAGGTATCTTAAATGCTTCTTGCAGTTCCCTTAAACATATAACGATACGTATATAAGCATTTTATATAATACCAAGCTCAATATCAAGCAAAAGATGTAACTGTTATTTACTGCTATATCTTAACAAAAGTTGAAAAAAATTTACACCTACATAATAAAAAAGGGGGGATATAAACCAATCTTTTAAACAAGCATGAGTTACGTATAAGCAAATATTATACATCATGTTTAATAACGCATTAATATTTTATGTACACGGAGCTAGTTTTCACACAATTTTGTGTCTGTCTGCTCCCCCCCCCAAAAAAAAAATAATTTAAGCTCTTGTTTTCAAATTTGTTTGTTTAGTCAAATACTGTAAAGCACGGAAGACTATCTGCCAATGGGAGAAGATAACGTTTTTCTAAAAGTTATTCAATTTGTTGTTTGGTTGTTCAGTAGAATACGGCAAAACACACCACAGCTATCAGACTTTCTATACGAAACTGGCTCGTATTCACGTTACACATTGAAAAAGAAAGAAAATGTTCATGCAGCCAGCCGATTCGTTGAAATTCGAATCTGGATCGAATTACTGTTCTTCAGCGTGTCCTATCCACTCACCCGCTGGTAGGCCTTGATTAGCGGAACATCGATGTACACTCTGCACAAAACAAAAGGAACAGTTCTATAATTCCGGTTCTATTGGGCCGATAGACGATTGGTGTATTGAGAATACGGCAAAGCACACTAGGGCTATCTGCCTAAGGGAAGGGATGCCTTCGTGGAGGACTTTCTAAGGGGAACTGGCTCGTATACACGTTACACATGGGGGAAAACCACGAAAACGCCCATGCAGCCAGCCCGTTCGCGGGATTCGAAACTCAAGACCGAACTACCAGTGTTCAGCGATTTTACCGCTCGGCCGCTGGGGCCGATAGACGAAATTTATCTTGCGTTCTTCATGTCTCGAAAGCCCGACTTAAGATACACATTTATATACAGCAATTTATTTTAACATAGGTATTTTGACACAAAAAAACCTTTCTGAAATAACATACCGATTTTTGTTTCCATATTTCGATTCTACGACTCAAATTAGGATCCAATAACAAATTTTGTAAAATTTGCTCAGAAACTTACCGAGAAATTTAAAAATTTATCTTGGCATATTTTTTACAGTTTGCGCCAAAAATAACTCACTTGGCGAAATTCGTAATTTATAGTAAACTATTTTCTTTTGCCTTTTTTTCATTGTGTACGAGCGGGAAAAAAAGCTGCATCGTTCTTTCAAATAATTTTAACAAAGTGCGTTAAGAACATCTGACGTTATTATCGTTTATAACAAATACGCCAAATTTCAAGACGCGCCAATATATAAATTCATGTACATCTTTGAAAATTTTGAATTTAAAAAAAAATTTGTGCATTTTTACGGTATGTCTAGAAATACATCTACTTTAAGGTGATGGCAAAAATTGCACAGGTTATAATTCATAAATTTTTCGAAAAATTTACTAAAATTACTAAAAAATAAAAAATTTTAAAATAAATCAGAAAATATCTGCTAATTTTATTTTGATTGAATCTAAATTCCAAACTGTGAAAGAAGGAATCAAGTTTATTTTTTTTTTAAAGAGGGATTAATAAAATACCAGATTCAATAAACATTAAGGAGCTAAAATTTTGACAGCTAATTTTTTAAAAACTACGCTTGCGATTTTTGCAAAACTCTGGCATAATTTGAGTCGTATAATCAAAATATACAAAAAATAGATGTGCCATTTCAGGTAAAAAATCTGATTTTGTATCAGAATAAGTATGTACGAAATATGCTGCATATAAATCGTAAGTCGCGCTTTCGAGACATGAAAATCCCAAGTTAAATTTCGTCAATCGGCGCAGTAGAATGTGAGATAATCTCGTACCAGACGACTAAATGACAAATCGGTTCCAAAATTCACGATAAATGTTTGATAAGCAAGTGTCCGGCCACTTGGGGACAGGAGGCACTCACTATATTCGTCATTTAATGTTTCGGGAAAATTTACAATGTTTGAAGAGCTAAAACCTGAAATTCTAAAACACTTCCATGATGGCTACCTTATGATTAAAGAAAAACATCGTTTTTGTTTAGTAATTCTGTGCCTTAACAGCTTTCCAGGATTTCTTGCTTTCATTTTTAAAAGACTGCCATGCAGCTTCTTCATCTGAATTTATCTACCCCTCAGGTCAATCCTTTAGCTTCCCACACCCTAGATATAAATTTTCAAGATTTAATACTGCTGCAAGGTTTACATGGTTAATGATATTCGATTTGACCAATACTTTAGAATACTACGGCTTTTCAGGTTTGTGCCCGTTTGTAATTCGCAAACGTACAGTAATATTTTGTGCGAAATAATTAAAGTCCAAGAATAGCAATCATCTCAGAATCACCACATATATTTCGATTATATTTTCGTACTGCATATTCTGCATGACCGTTCTCATACTTTAGGGAACTTCTTTTACATTGGCAGCGTAAGCTAACAATACTGATGGAAATTTACTTATTTCATTTATTAAGAATTATAGCCTAGTTTATGGTTACAGTTAAGTAGGAATATCAAATGAAGTTAGAACAGCTCAGAAATAGACGTTAAAACATTTCTAGTAATTTTAACTTCGGTATAAATAGTATGAAAATTCTATTTTTATATTATTTATAGCAAAGTTTAAATTACGAAAAATTAAAATTACGTGCATTAATTTAATACTAATAATACAAGAAAATTAAGTACTTGCACTTGTAATTACTAGTTCCGAGTACATCAAATACATATGTGTTGTAGAGACATTATGATATTTTTGAAGCAGAAGACGTGAAAAATGAGCAATGCCCTCGCCGGGTCTCGAACCTCTGACCTCTCGAATATGCGCCGAGTGTGCTGTCAATTACACCACGAAGGCATGCTAAGAAGGCGAGAGAAATACCTTACATACTTCTCCTTTCGAATGGCGACTGGAGATAGAGGACCCAATCGCCAAATCCTGGTGGTGGAAGAACATCTTAGATTCACCACCATTCTTAGTTCGGGCATCACTGTTAGAGATATTAGGTATTTTTTTAAAGCAGGAGAGACGTGAAAAAAACGAGCACCGCCTTCATCGGGACTCAAACCTCGGACCTCTCGAATACGCGCCAAGTGTGCTGACCATTACACCACGAAAGCATGCTAAGAAGGAGGGGGAAATCCCTTATATTGTTATAATGTATTATGTTTCATATTTATCTACAGTAGAACCGAGCTTATTTAAAAGAATGCTTTAAAGTAATTCCCCCCCCCCATTCTGCGAGTTTAAAATTCGTTCAATTTGTGCTGAAATTTGGCAATATTACATTTTGTGCTTGATATTATATTTATATAAAATACTGGTATCGTTACATGTTTATGAAAAACACAAAATGTATTAAAAAATCTCACCTTCGTTCGAAAATACCTTTAGCTCATCATGTGTATTAGACTTGCAGAGTTTCGATTTTTCGAGTTAACATCATTCTTACACTATTTCTACTGAAATTACGTGAAATATTACGTGTATTAAAATTATTAAGATAGGAAAAATTAATTAGCAGCATTTGCAATTAAACTTTTTAGTTCACATATATTCCTAAGAAGCATTTACGTACTATTAATTGATGTTATTAAAAAAACTGAGTAAAATTTTCGGCACACATTAAAAAATCATCAATCGTAATCGAATGCACAATAAACAAACCATAGTTTTTCTATGATAAAATCTTTGTTTAACTCTTGCACAGTCATGAAAAGCCTACATCATTACTAGGTGATAAACTGATTAGATAGATCTATAGTCTTAACTGGTCAGATTTATTTATAAGTGATAAGCTGGTTTCTAGATTTACAAGTCATCATATTTTTCTGAATGAAGTAATGTAACATTCATTTTTAATTTCTAGCAAATATTTTTTACAAGCATTTGTAATTTTCGGAAAAGATGCACGGATTACTTACTACACAACTTTTTCTCTGTTCGAACAGTTCAGACGCTAGAATGCATCTGACATTTCGATAAAAATTTTATAACTGATTGTTTAAGAATTATATAGAAAATTCACATAATTCTCAATAACCAGAGAGAATAATTGCTTTATACAACAAGATTTATTAGATGCAACATTTTCCACTAGCATAATTTGACAGTCCATGTAAATACACATAATGAAAACTACCTGACAGACTTGGTTTCAAATTATGGTTTGAAACCAAAATCTAGAAATGATGAAGCCAATTTGAATTATGATATGGTCAGTTTTAAACTTGATTTTAAAAGCCATCACTTAATGCTTTCACGATCTCGAGCGATGATGATTTTTATGGCACGCTGATTGAAACTTCCCGGCTGTAGTTAAACGCTCTGAAACTGCGTTCATCATTTTTGAACTATGGCCAATTAAGTAAGACGGTTCAGAAAACAGTAGAATAGGGATATAAATGTCTAAATGGATAATGGGCTGAAGGCTGGACAGAAGTTACTCGTACGGATACGAAGTCTCCAAAAATGCTTGAACGACCTAAATGTGAAAGAATATTAAGATGAAAAAATTTCCACACATCACATAAGAATCATACAACCAAAATATTTTAGTGTAATTTATTTTGCTGTCATAAAATTTAATGCGAAAACATTCTTTATAAGAACGCAAGATATATATATATATTTCACGTTAGCGACTGGATACAAAAAGTACTCTGAATATTTTTTTTTTTTTCCTTCCTCTTCCAATTTTCGATTGAATTAAATATGTTATTACATAATTGTTCTGTTAATACATTATACAATATACATCTGTTGCATGCAGTTAGCATAATAACTATGAATGGTAAACAGATGGTGATAGCTTATAAAAATACGAGAGCTTACAATATAAAAATGAAATGAAATACTATAAGCGTTATAAAGTAAAATAAGATAAGAAGCAAAAAACTTAATTCTATGTCTCAATTAAGCAGTATATACTGAAGAACTAGCATGCAAAATAATTAATACATAATATCAAATATAGATGCATATAAATATAAAAATAAAAGATATATATGACATAGAATAATAAATCAAGCAATAGAAAAATGTTCAGAATTAAAGCAAATAAAAATATTCACAACAAAAATAGAAAAACCTGTAAATTACGAAAATAAAGTGCACTACAGAAGTATTCTCAGCTGCTCCCGTTTTGTTAATTCTGAGATTCAGCATCATTTCGGGAGTAAAAAAATATTTCCCTTCCCTGTTTTTGCTGTTTTGTTTTTTTGCATGCAGTTTTTGCTCTCCCAATGTACACTTTTTTTTTTTTTTTTCCTTAAATCAAATTTACTTTAATTGCTAAAAAACTGTACGGTAAAAAAAAAAAAACACTTGGTCCACGCTTCCTAGTACGATAAAAAGAATGAAGTCCCCCCCCAAGAGAAATTCCATTATAATGCATTTTCGGTACTTCTTTGTTACAGTGGCCCCCGAGACTGAATCGCTAATTAACCGAGATATCTCGCCAAAATCTGGCTGCGTGTTCTTATCATAGAGCTATAATGTATATAACAGGTCTATGGTTCTTATACCTCGCCACGTGATCGTACATTAGTACCGCGTTGCATTCTTACTCTCGACCCGTATTCTTATAATACTTATTTTCCATGAGGTTTTCGAATTCGCATTGCTTATTTAAAAATTATATCCATTCCTTTTTTTAAGCCCAAAGGAGGGTTAGCCCAGAAGGGCTATTAGTCTCGAAACTGCATTTTGCGTCGGTTCATTATAAACGGCGTATCACTTTTTAAATTGTTGTCACCATGTATTATCGTCTTGTATTATATTTAAAGACGTTAAATTATGAAGTATCTGCCTGAATGTATTATGTTTCTTGCATTACGAAAAAAGACGTATCTAAAGACATCAAATTTTGAATAACGTAATCCTCAGAACGCCTGGAAGACAGAATTTTGAATTTAGAATTAGTTTTATTACCTATTTCATATTTTGCAAAACTAACGAATTTTTTATTAACAAACTTGAGGATTTCAATGGCAACACTATACAGAAAAAGCAATTTTTTTTTTAATCCCCAGCGCACGAGACTGACTATCAGAAATTATAAAAAAATGCTGTTTTTAAATATTTTGTGATATTGCTGTTGAATTGAATTTTATGCGGTTTAAGTGCGAAAAAGACGATATTTAATAAATAAAGGTAACACAGAAAACGTTAAAAAAACGCCCTTTGGGTATAATCAAAAATCTGAAAGCTTTCAGATTTTTATGTATTTATTTTTTATTTTTTGTGTATGTGCGTGTGTGTGTGAAATGCATGTTAACAGTCCTCAATGCATTAAGTAATGAGGTGGTGTATTGAGAAATACGGCAAAGCAGACTAGGGCTATCTGCCTAAAGGGGAGGGATGCCTTCTTGGAGGACTTTCTAAGTGAAACTGGCTCGTATACACGTTACACATGGGGAAAACCACGAAAACACCCATGCAGCCAGCCCGTTCGCGGGATTCGAACCTCGGACCGAACTACCCAGTGTTCAACGATTTTACCGCTCGGCCGCTGGTGGGCAAGTAATGAGGTGGATACTGTATTATTTTTTTCAAGAAAGAGGTCTTTTACCTAATAAACGAGTATCGGAAAATGGCCACAGCATGAAATTTTATGTTAACGACGAAATCATTTAGAGGTACAATGTTAACAATCGCAAAAACAAGGGGGGCCTCCATTTTGAAAATTGGTTCAGCGGTTCCAGAATATCGTTCATCATTGCTATTAGATTTAAGTACTCTCGGGCAGAGGAGCTGACGTCTATGAAATGGTGTAAGAAATGGCTTTAATATGTGTGAAAGTGCTGCAGTTGAACAATTACACGCGAAAAAATAATAATGAGGATTCTTAAAAATATTTTTAGGAAACGACATGCGAGTATTATTGTTATTATTGCATATTGTGTTGCTTATTTTTAAATTCGCGCTCCACAAGCTTGTGAAATTATAGCTGAGATCCTGGCGCAAATTTGATTTGGGGGGCGCTATAACAAAGCACCTATTTTTCTCGCAAACTTTGGAATTTTATCAATCACCATAAAATTCTGAAGATGCCCTTTGCCTCAAAGTCCCTCTATAAGCATCCTGCTATAAAAACGTAATGAGAAATTAACTACATTAAAAGGCGTGAACAGATGGTAAGAATGCAAACAGGAAATTGATTTGAAGAATGCCAAATTGCATAACATTCCATACGTAGACCACACCAGCCATACTATTTATTTACCATTGATGCAAGGAATTAATATCAAATTTTCCGAAGCATCAGCTATACGTTCTTAGAGGTATCGAAAACTAATATTTAACCAAATCCAGACTTGGAAAATATAGGGTACTTATGTGTTATTGCAACCACCTTAGAAACTTTTTGAACGCGCCAAGCTCTGGCAATCATGCGCATAACCATCCCTTCAGTCAAGCATCGTCACTACTTTCGTATGCGTTCTTTTTGTTGTATTCCAAGTTCCAACGAATTTATAGAGAAATGGTGAGTTTTTTGCTTTGAATTTAATTTTAAAATAGGCGCTTGTGGAATTTGTCAGCAATGGAAGAAACTGCGGTATAATTTCTACAGCAAAACAGAATTTTGCCTCAGAATCTCTAAAAAGAAGGAGATGCGTTTGGTTGATAGCTGGTGATATAAAATCTCTGCGATTGTCCAATTTTTTTAAGCGAAAACAGAGAAAAGAACAGCGCAAAAAAATTACAAAAAGATTTGGAGACGAATATACGTCTTTTAACTTTTTAATGCACCGCGTAATCCTTATTTAACAATTAAAATTTGTATTTTACACTGCTAAAGTATGTTGACTTTTCATATGTTGATAATGTTTAACTTACGATAAATATCGATAATTTGACAGACTTTTAAGTCGCGAAAACCAGCAATTTGCTCTCTATTCCCAACTTTTATCTTTTCATCCGTAAAAAATCGTCAAACTGCACCACGGTGGTTGCGTTAATATGTAAGTGCCAAACAAATTTAGAGAAAGCATATTTATTGGTACTTTTGAATTATCGCAACCACCTTAATAGAAGTCTTCAAATTTTCAGAATTCCCCAGACTTTGGCAACCATGCGCATAACAATTTTTCAGGTAAACATATCCACGCTAAGTTGCAATCCGAAAATTCACCGAATCACCTTTTTCTTTCCTAAAAAATTGCCAAAATGCGCCAAGGTTGTTGCGCTAATATGTAAGTACCAGAGATTTCAATTCCATTGCTCTGGACAAAAATCGAGTGAACGGAAAACAATACCTCCCTTCAAGGCTTTGTTACCAGATTCCTTTGTACCAGATACCAAAAATCCTTCTGTGCTCTGCAGTTTTCGAGATTTCAATCGATAATACTATTGAATATAAATTTTTTTGACATAATGAAATTCATCCGCAAATGTGATATTGCATAAATTAGTTAAGAGCGTTAATCCTATACAGTTAGTTCGCTATTCAACATAAAAATATTCACTTTTCTAAAATGCACGTTCGCAAAGATTACACGAAAACCATCCTAATAAAATCTCAGCCCCCAACAGTTAATTTACACAAAAGCATTATTCAGTGCTACAAATTAAAACTCCACATATTTTCGATTTACAGCTCATTTCCTTACCAATAACAATAAGTAAAACATCGAGCTACGTTTCCGCCTTTAGGTACACCACCTATTACCCCACACTCAATCGTGTATTTGGCTAGTAATCGTCAACTTAAAGCTATCCACTAGTTGTTGGAGGGTGCACTTGGATGATTAATCGTACCCTTCCGTTTTCCATCGGAAGTCGGCAAATGTGACGCGAGTCAAAGGATAATGAGCATCAGAAGCTCGAGGGAACCCTCACCCCTCCCAACGATGTCTTCACGATATTTAGGTAAAAAGTAGCAAGCTGTGCGAGCCTTGGCGATACTCACCGAGCAAGCGATTCAGTGCACAAAATTAGGCACAAACAGTTTTAATTATTAAAATTCGTGCTCTAATTAACTTTTTAAGATTCGATAAGTTTTTTGTACTATCAAATAACTGAAATGCTATAAAACAGAAGATTTTAAAATGGGCACAATGATAACAGTTTAAATTTGTGATGCTGGAAATGGTGCACAGACTCATAAGTTAATAAAAGAAACAGCAATATGTTTATCTTTTTTTTTAATTACCTTGAATGCATTTTAAAATATCGATATTATAAAGCACGGAAACTGAGTTATTCAATAGATCAAAGGTATAAATTTAAAATGGCGACTTCGGAAACAAGACGTTGAAATGCTTGAACTTAAATGTGAAGATGCATATGCATGTGTTTATATATACATACACATACTCGTATATTGCACTTAATTCCGTGCACAAAGCAAAAGCCCGGTAAAATACTCAAGTTATAACAGCTTAGTGGTAAGTGTTTTTATCTGAAGTAATAAACATCATTTCCTTCGATACAGTAATTATAAGGTACAATACTGAATTTAATGATTCATGAAGCGTTATA